CTCCAGGCTCCGAGCTGCTCCTGCCAGAACCCACAGGTGAATCTTGAGTCCATTTACTCTGTCTGTGACTTCTGGCTTTGGTTTCTCAGTGTAAAACTGGGCTAAAGATTAGTGAGGTGATGGCTTGTAAGGTGGTTAGTGGTGGTGGTGTTCAATCGCTCAGTTGTGTCCGACTCTTTGCGGCTCCATGGACTGCAGCGCACCAGGCTTCCCTGTCTATCTCCCAGAGCTTGCTCAAACTCACGTCCATCGAGTCGGTGATGCCATCCAACCATCTCATCCTCTGTCGCCACCTTCTCCTCCTGCCTTCAGTCTTTCCCAGCATCAGGGTCTTTTCCAATGAGTAAGTTCTTGAAATCAGGTGGCCAAAGTTTTGGAGCTTCAGCATCTGTTGTTCCGATGAATATTCAGGGTTGATTTTCTTTAGGATCGACTGGTTTGATCTCCTTGCTGTCCAAGGGACTCTCAAGAGTCTTCTCCAGCACCACAGTTCTAAGCATTAATTCTTTGGTGCTCAGCCTTCTTTATGGTCCAACTCACATCTATACATGAGTAGTGGAAAAAACCATAGCTTTGACTATACAGACCTTTGTCAGCAAAGTGATGTCTCTCATTTTAATGTGCTCTCTATGTGGTCATAGCTTTTCTTCCAAGGGGTAAGCATTTTTTAATTTCATGGCTGCGGTCACTGTCCAGAGTGATTTTTGAACCCAAGAAAATAAAATCTGTCACTGTTTCCACTGTTTTCCCAACTATTTGCCATGAAGTGATGGGACCAGATGCCATGATCTTAGTTTTTTGAATGTTGAGTTTTAAGGCAGCTTTTTCACACTCCTCTTTCACCCTCATCAAGAGGCTCTTTAATTCTTCTTCACTTTCTGCCATTAGATTGGTATCATCTGCATATCTGAGGTTATTGATATTTCTCCTGGCAATCTTGATTCCAGCTTGTGAGTCATCCAGTCCAGCATTTCACGTGACATATTATGTATATAAGTTAAATAAGCAGGATGATAATATACAGCCTTGTATTCCTTTTCCAGTTTTGAACCAGTCTGTTATTCCATGTTTGATTCTAACTGTAGCTTCTTGGCCTGCATACAGGTTTCTCAAGAGATAGGTAAGGTGGTCTGGATTCCTGTCTCTTTAAGAATTTTCCACAGTTTGTTGTGATCCACACAGTCAAAGGCTTTAGCATCGTCAATGAAACAGAACTTTTTCTGGAATTCTCTTAGTTTTTCTATGACCCAACGGATGTTGGCAATTTGATCTCTGGTTCCTCTGCCTTTTCTAAATCCAGCATCTGGAAGTTCTCGGCTCATGTACTGTTGAAGCCTAGCTTGAAGGATTTTGAGCATTACTTTGCTAGCTCGTGAAATGAGTGCAACTGTATGGTAGTCTGAACATTCTTTGGCATTGCCTTTCTTTGGGATTGGAATGAAAACTGAACATCTTCCAGTCCTGTGACCACTGCCGAGTTTTACAAATTTGCTTGCATGTTGAGTGCAGCAGCTCTTTAACAGCATCATCTTTTAGGATTTGAAATAGCTCAGCTGGAATTCCATCACCTCCACAAGCTTTGTTTGTATTAATGCTTTCTAAGGCCCACTTGGCTTCACACTCCAGGATGTCTGGCTCTAGGTGAGTGGCCACACTATCGTGGCTATCCAGGTCATTGAGACCCTTTATGGATAGTTCTTCTGTGTATTCTTGCCACTTCTTAATATCTTGTTAGGTCTTTGCCATTTCTATCCTTTATTGTGCCCATCTTTGCATGAAATGTTCCCTTGGTATCTCCAGTTTTCTTGAAGAGATCTCTAGTCTTTACCATTCTATTGTTTTCCTCTTTCTTTGCGTTTTTCATTTAAGAAGGCTTTCTTATCTCTGCTTGATATTCTCTGGAACTCTGCATTCAGTTGGGTTTATCTTTCCCTTTTTCCTTTGTCTTTCACTTCTGCCCATTGCAGGGTGAAGGGCTGGGGAGTCTGTGGCCGCGGGGGCTCGGGAGGCGGTGGTGCCATGGTGAAGATGCTACTTGAGGCCCCGGCATCCTCCCTGGCTGCCTGCAGGGGCTTTGTTGTGGCTAGGGCCCTGTGGGCTGCCCCCTGGTGAAGTCACTCTCCCCTCGCCACACCTCGCAGGCTGGCAGGTGGGCAATCTCGCGTGTGCTGGCGAGTGTCTGAGGGTGTGTGCTGGACCCAAACTGCCACCCTGTTTGTACCTCCATCGCGGCACCAGGGACCATGTGGGTTAACCCAGAAGAGGTGCTGCTGACCAGCGTGCTGCGGATCACTGAGAGCCAACCCCTGCTTCATCCTGCAGCCGAGGAAGGGGCACATGGGTGCTGAAGGTGGACGTGGCGGCAGACTGGTGGTATGGCAGTCTCTACGTGAGGGGACTGTGGGCTTAAAAAAAATCTACAACCCAAAACTTGGGCAAAAAATAAGATGGTGGACATGTGCTCATTTTCTGTGAAAATAGCAAAATCACAACTAGCTGTTGAACAGTCATCGACAGGAAGATTCTGGAACCCATGGAGAAAAGGATACCCCACGTTGAGGGACAAAGGAGAAGATGAAACGAGACAGTAGGAGGGGCACAATCATGTTAAAATCAAGTCCCATACTGCCTGGTGGGTGACCCACAAATTGGAGAACAATAATACCAAGAAGTTCTTGCACTGCTGCGAAGGTTCTAGGCCCCACATCAGACTTCCCAACCTGGGGATCTGGGAAAGGGACTGAGAATCCCTAGGGAATCTGACTTTGAAGGCCAGTGGGATTTGATTACAGAACTTCCACAGGCCTGGGGGAAACAAAGACTCTTGGAGGGCCAACCAAAACCATGTACACCAGGACCCAGAGGAAAGGAGCAGTGACCCCACCGGAGATTGAGCCAGATTTGCTTGCAAATGTTTGAGGGTCTCCTTCAGAGATGTGGGTTGACAGTAGCCTGCCACACGAACAGGGGCACTGGCAGCAACAGTCCTGGGAGGCGCGTGTTGGCATAATTCATCTTGGAAGTTGCCAATAGCTCCACCATAGAGCCCACAGACTCCAGGACTGGGTCGCCTCAGGAGAAACAACAGGAAGGGAGCAGAGCCCCACCCATCAGCAGACAACTGGAGTCAAGATTTACTGAGCTTGGCTCTGCCCTGCAGAGCAAGACCCAGTTTTCCCCACAGCCAGTCCCTCCCAGCAGGAAGCTTGCACAAGCTTCTTATCCTCATCCATAAGAGGGCAGACAGAAGGAGCAGGAGCTACAGTCCCACAGCCTCCAGGACAAAAACCACAATCACAGAAAGCTAACTAAAATGATCACATGGATCACAGCCTTTCCGTGGCAAAGGGGCTTGCGTAACTCAATAAAACTGTGACAAAACATGGTCCATTGGAGAAAAGAAGGGCAAACCGCTCTAGAATTCTCACTTTGGGAACCCCGTGAACGGTATGAAAAGGCTTTCGGTGAGGAGAGAGGAATTTCTGTGACCTGGGTTTGCGTTCTTCCTCTGACACTCGTTGTGTGACCTTGGCCAAGATAATCCACTTCTGTAGGCCTCAGTCTTCTCATATGCAAAATGGTGTCAGTGGTGGTTCCTGTAAATTACTATGAGGATTAAAAGGAAACTGCTTGGAAACAGGGCCTGGCACATAATGGGTGCTAGTGTCAGCCAGGTTCTTTGTAAGCAACAGAAACTGATCAGTCACCTTAAGCACTAGAAAGGGAATATATTGGACGGATTTCAGGAAGCTCAAAAAATGGCCAGGAAGTCCAGTGGCTTGGAGAAACCACTGGCCTGTGTGAGAATGAGCGGTCTCAGCAGCAGCCACTCTGTCTCTGCCCGTCTGATGGCTGAACTGAGGCGGGTCATGGGCAGGAGACGAAGCCCTCGACGTGTGATGCCTCTGAGGCCCCTTGGGGTGGGGGCACCTCAGCTGTCTGGGATTCCCACCCTGGACCGAGTATGTGTATGGGGCTGAGGGAGGTGTTGGTGAGGAGATCCTCAGGAAATCTATGACTGTTAGATGTACAAGTGGGCAGGTTTCTTGTATTATGTTTGACCAGAAACAATGGCAGTGTGGCATATGGAATCTTAGTTCCCTGACTGACCAGGAATTGAACCTGGGAATTGAACCTCCTGCACTGGGAGCACGGAGTCTTAATCTCTGGACCACCAGGGAAGTCCCGTGACAGCGGTTCTTTATTGAGAACTTAGGTACCAGATAGTAGGCTGAGCCCTATGTAGGAAATAACTCATTGGAGCTTCTCAGCAGCTCAGTGAGACAGGTGTTACCAGCCCTGTTTTATAGGCGAGGAAATGAGGCACAAGGAGATGAAGGTAGTTGGGGAGTCTGGGCATTCTGAGTGGGCAGCACAGGGCCTGGCAACGGTCGGCCTCCTTTTCTCTGCCTCTCTCGGCAAAGGCTGGGGGAGATGGCAGTGGAGACAGGGCTCAGTGCTGGGGTATGTGACCCGCTGTCCTCTAAGCTTCTAGTAAGAAGTGCTCAGTAAATGTGGGGTGCGTGGATGAGTGATTGAATGAATGGATGAATGCCAAGATTGTGAGTCTGGGGCCAGCTGGTGAGTCTGGGGCCAGCTGGTGAGTATGGGGCCATATCACACCATCATTTTGCCTCATGTGTCAAAATTGCCCTGCCCCAGTCCCCACCCACACACAGTCTAGCTATGCCCGGGGTCTTACTGACTGAAAGTGGTGGCCCCAACAGGGAAGGGGCCTTGAGGCCCAGAGAATGGGACACGCTTCTTGCTGTTGGCCTCATCCCTCCCATTGAGAGGCTGGGCCCAGACAAGGACGGGGTCTGGGGTTTGCCCGGCCCCCGGAGCCTCGGTGTCCTCCTGTTTATGCCAGGTCTGCAGGCCCTCTGCTCTTTGCGCTGCCACTGGTGCTCTGATGGGCAGGGGGTGGGGCACGGGGCAGCTCCCCATTCAGAAATATACTTGGAGCCAGGAAATACCAACCATGCCCCCCTTTTCCCCAGGAGTATGAGCGGGCCTCCAAGGTGGACCAGTTTGTGACACGCTTCCTACTGCGGGAGACGGTGAGCCAGCTCCAGGCCCTGCAGAGCTCACTGGAGGGGGCGTCAGACACTTTGGAGGCCCAGGCCCATGGCCCGCGGTACGTGAGGCGCTCGGCCATCTGCGGGTCCAGTTCATGAATGTGTTATCTCCGCATGTCAGGTCCCTCAGCTTCCATCACATTCTACAGTTCTGGCATCCTGAGCCCAAATTCTTGTTCTTAGGCAGGGAGGTCAGGAGAGGGCGAGACAGCATGGCTGGCTTTGCAGCTGGACCTCAATGTCCTGAAGTTTGGGGCCAGGCCTGTTCTGGGGCCCCAGTGCTTGGCCCCATGGGTCTGGGAGCAGTGGACTGACCCCCCACTCCCCTCAGGTCAGATGAAGAGAGGGTGGAGGTGCCGAGCCGGCCCCGAGGCAGCCGGCGGGCAGGGCGCAGGGCCCTGCGGAGCGTCAGTCGATCGTCCACCTGGTCTCCTGGCTCCTCCAACACAGGTGTGTCTGCGGCGGGGTGGGAGGGCATGGCATCTCCCGGGGGCCCCAGCATTTGCTCCTCCACTCGCCCTCAACTCATCCTGAGAAGCCCCCAGCCTGAGGGGTCCATGCCCGACCCCCAGGGCAGAGCTCCGAGGCCGAGATGCAGTGGCGACTCCAGATCAACCGCCTTCAGGAGCTCATCGACCAGCTGGAGTGCAAGGTGAGCGTGGTGCGGCCACTGCCCTGTGCCGGGGGAACTGTCTGGAACCCGCGCAAGCCAGGCCCACACTGGGGGCCTGACCCATGCACTGCATCCCTCACAGGCCCCCCGGCTGGAACCCCTGCACGAAGAGGAGCTGACCAAGGGGCCCAGCTCGGTGAGTCTGGGAGAGGGGCAGACAGCTGGCGTGGGGCCGGGAGGAGGCCGTGAAGTGAGGAGGTTCACGTAGCTACTGTGTCTTCTTGATACACGCCCTTCTCCAGGCTTGGCCCAGCCTTTGTTCCCCGGGCCTGGCGGGCAGGTGTGGGGTTCTGGTCATTGCTTCGTGACTCTGCTTCTGTCCCTCCATGGGCATCAGCGTCCCTTGCCTACAGTTCTGAAAGCTGGGTGTGTGCAGCAGTGTGGACAGAAGCTGAAGGGGGCGGTCGGAAGCCGTGTGGTGCTGCAGGAGAACCGGCCAGTGGCTGGAGCGAGGCAGTAACCTTGGCAACAGGAGGAGGAGGATGGAGCCAGGAATGCTGGGGGCCGCCTGGGGGCAGGAGCCTGACCTCAGGGCTGGCTGGGTCTGGTGCAAGCCAAGAAGGGCAGGGCCCTCCTGAAGGCCACAGCAGGCCCTCACCCGCTGCCCTGCCCTGCCCCAGCTGACCAGGCTGCTTCTCTTGCCAGCACATCCTCGTGGCCCAGAGGCAGGTGCAGGTGGCTGAGGAAGCCCTGCAGGACTTCCGCCACGCCCTGTGCTGCTATGTGGACTTCACGGGGTCCCAGAGCCACTGCCTGCAGTGAGTCCTCAGCTGGGTGCTGGCCAGCCAAGGTGGGGGGGTGGACAGGCAGGGAGGAAGGCTGGGCTGGGTGTCCTGGGCCAGGGCTCTCCTCAGACACCCTTGGTGAGGTGGGCAGGGGTGGTGGCAGCCCAGGCCTGGCCTGGCCTGGCCGTCTCTTTGGCCCTGCAGTGTGTCTGCCCAGAAGATGCTGGACAAGGCTTCCTTCACCCTGTATGAGTTCTGGCAGGACGAGGCCTCCTGGAGAAGGTAGGAGCGGTGGTCTGACGTTTATTATGGGACCTCGAGTGAACCAAATCTTGGTTCAAATCATCTCCTAGTCACTGGCTCTGACGTCAAGAGAGTTACCTAACCCCTCTGAGCCCCAGTGGCCTCCTTCTCAAAATGGGAGCGATGCTAAGTCCATTCTCTTGTCACCATGTAAAGAACTGAACACAGTGCCAGGTACCAGGTAGGTGCGCAGTGAACACACACAGCTCCCACTGTGCCACACCCCATGCCACGTGCCTTGTGTGTGACTGCATGTAATCCTCATGGTATCAGTGACGTGGACACTGCATCCCCATTTCACGGAGGAGAAAACTGAGGCGCAGAGCCACTATGAGGAAGGACTGAGATCTGAAACCAGGCAGCAGGACTGGGCGGGAGTGGGGAGCTTTTAACCATGTGGTCCTGGTCACTGGGGACCAGCTCCGGCCTTGGTCCACTCTGCGGCCCTCCCCAGGCACCAGCAGTCCGCCTGCAGTAAGGCCTTCCAGCGCATCCTCATTGACCATCTGCGGGCTCCAGACACCCTCACCACTGTGTTCTTCCCAGGTGGGCGGTGGCCGCCAACCCTCTGGGGAAGGGCAGTGGGCACTTGGATGGCCTCTGACTCCCAACCTCTGACCCGCAGCCTCCTGGTGGATTATGAATAATAACTGAGCCCAATCTGCACAAGTCAAGGACTCCAGAGCCCTGCCTGCCTCCTCCTGGAGCGTCCGGACTGGTCAGCTCCACTCAGCTCAAGACCAGGACGCTGCCACCTCCGTAACTGGGGCCCGGCTCTCAGCCTCCCAGAGCCAGCTGGTGGAGAGTCTCACAGCCCAGGGATCAGAGACTGGGCTGCTTGCTTCCTCTTTCTTTCTTTAACAGTGTGTTTTATTGCTTATAGCTTCGGCCTCTGAGATACTCTGGTATTTGTCTGGCCTCAGGAGGCCTGGATTCTGGTCCCCTCTGTCCCTGCCTTGCTGTGTGACCAGGGCAGGTCCCTTCCCTCTCTGAGTTGGCCTTGGGCTGTCTGGCTACCTAGTGGGTGCCTGCTTTCTTCTTGCTGTCTTGGGACCAGACTTCTGCTCTTCCCCAGCCAGCAGCAGAGCCAGGGCTGATGCTCAGGAATTGTCCTCCACCCCCTGCCCCTGACCTCCATCCCCAAGACTGGGCTGGATCAGTCTGCCGTGTGGGCAAAGGACCTGGGGGTCCCCACCCCCTTCCTGGGCCGGCAGGCTCCTGACGATCTCAGCACCTGTGGCTGCACCAGAGCCCTCCGGAGGATCCTGGATTGGTTTGCATGTTATTTGCATATTATTTGCATGCTCATTCCCACCCATAGTCAGGGCACTATGGGAAGCCCCAGGGTGACCTTGCTAGGTAGCAATAATTTGGGCCCAGAGTCACCTGCTGCCCCCAGATACCTCTGAACCCCAGCCCAGAGGCAATAAAGGCAGTGGTCACCTCTGGCATCGCTTCCATTCTCTCTCTCTCAGCAAGAAGGCCTGGTCCCCGTGCCTGTGGATGTGGGAACTTAATCATGGCTAATCCAGGTTCCCTCAGTTCAGGACCTTCTCACTCCACAGAGCCTGGTTCTGAAGTCTTTCCTGGGAAAGGAGAGTGGACATGGGCTCTGCCAAAACTCCCCTACGATCCTGGGGGTTCTAGCTTCACCACCTTCCTTTACCAGCAAGGTGTGGTATGAAGGTGGGGGCAGACCACAGAGCCCTCTCAAGACCCAAAGAGCATGGCTGGCCCCTGTGAGGAGACCTGTCCCCAGATAGAAGCTCCCCTGCCCTTCTCAGCTGGACTTGTCACCAGCCCTGCTGCCTGACGGCGCCAGAGGGCAGTTCCGGGAGGATACTGGATGAGTCCGTCCTCCCAGCTACGGGACCTCCTTCTTGCCGTCCTGAGGGAAGGGACTGGGGGCATGGAGGGAGCTGACTGACAAGACGGCGGGTGGGAGAGGGCTCCCCAGGTCGTGGGCTCTAGCGGGGAGGCAAGCAGCCTCACAAGAGCACAGGCTGGCCTCTTGACCTGGTCTGGAAGGTGTGGGGTCAGGAGCATTTAGGCAGAAGAAATGGACAAGTTGAGGCTCTGAGAGTGGGGAGAGCTTGCCTCACTGGACAGAAGGGAACCCAGAGGTGGGCTGAGGTCAAAGCCAAGGCAAGGTGGCAGCAGGGCCTCGAAAGCACTGCATCTTGCAGAAGCTGCGGTAGGCTTTAAGGAGTGGCTGGCCAGTGGGCTGAGTGCCATTTCACCAAGGCACCTGGCTGCCCTGCTGGTGCCAGTCACAGCTGGGCTCTGGGGCACAGCCAGGAAGGCAGCTCGGACGGTGTCAGCTCAGGATAGTTAGAGACCTCTTAGGGTGGGAGGTTTCTCCCCGCGGATCCCGGTAGGAGTTCAGACTTGCAGGGACAGACAGCTGCTCCCACTGGCCTAGCTGCCCAGGCCAGGAACCAGCACAGGGGTCTCTGGGGGCCCCTGGCCAGCAGGCTATCACACTTCCTGGACTCCTGGCAGTTCTAGAAAGTGCTGCCAGCACCCGAGTCACTCAGGTTTGGGTGGCTGGAGGAGGGTCAGGGTCTTCTTGTTAGAGAAGCCCATCTAGGAGGAAGTAATCCGGCTATCTGCCTGGTCCTGATTCCTTCCGTCTCCTCTACGAAAACAGCACCAACAGCAAACTCTCAACACTAAAAAACTTTCTGTTGCCTCTGAACAAAGATGCTGAAATTCTTCAGCTCAGGCTGACATCTCTCAAGTGGGTGCCTGCTTCATCCTGTGATGGAGTTCTGAAGTTAACACTTTTATTTAAAAAAAAAAAAAAAAGATGGGCTGCATCCTTCCTCCCTGGCTGAACGTCCGGAAGGGGGAGGGTCAGTCCTGCAGGGTCTGAGAAGGCCGCTTGGAAATGGTGATGCTGGGTGGGAGCTGTGAAAGAAGAGTGAGGGTCTCCAGAGGTGAGGGGTGGACAGGCAGGGAGAATGTTCCAGACAAAGGGAGCAGGAGGAGGAGCAGTGGAGTGCAAGGGATGGGGGGGTGCCCAGGGAGACCAGGTCAGGGGGACTCGGAATGATCAGCCTCTCAGGGAACGGGGAGCTGGATGTCACCAGACGGGAGTGCTGTGCGCAGGTATGGAGCTGGACAGGAGGAGCCTGGAATTCCAGCTACAGGGAGAACGAAGTTCTGAGCTGGGGCTCTGGGGGCACGGAGGGCCCCAGGCCGCCTCGTGTGTCTACTGAACTCTCAAAAGGCCACATTCATTTCCATCCTGCCATCCCTCTAGGCTCCCAGGTCTCGGCCACCTTCATCTCTTGTTGAGATGACTGCGGCAGCTTTTTTGCTGGGTTTCCCTTCTGCAGTCCGTTCCCCAGAAAGGAACAGACAGGGATGGAGGTGGGGGGCTGTTTTCAGACTTTGCCATGGTGACCACACCCTTCTGGTTAAGACCTTTCAATGCTTTTAGCATCAAGATCAAGTCTGATGTCTCGACTTGGCATTCAGGGCTCTTAGCAGCTATCAATACCCACTCCTACTATGTGCAGCCTCCTCTCCCTAAAACACTCCAGCTGAGCTGGGCTATCTACAACCTCGGTCGCTGCCCTCGAGGCCTTTGTTGCCTCCCGCTCCCCACCCCATCCACTGCTTCCTTAGCCTTCAAGCAGCAGGTCAAAGCCATCGGGTCTGACCCGCTTTCCCACTCCGGGGGCTCAGTGCCCCACTTTCCTCAGCTCATTTCAACAACCACTCGGCCCCGGCTTTGGGGATGGTGAAATGTCTGAGGCTACTGACAGCACCGGTCAAGAGCAGGCAGAGTAGTGAAGCTGGGCGCTGCCAGCACCGCACCCACCCTTCCCCCACTGCCTGCACCTGCCTCCTCGCCATCCTCCCACCTGTGCTGGTGACTCACCTGCACACAGCAAAACCTGCGCCTGGCTCGGTGCCAGGCCAGGTGCTTGGCGAGACAGCAGCAGTCTGGGTGGCTTCCATTCCCCTCCAGCTCTCAGAGAGAAACACGCACCCACACCAAGTCCCCTTAACACAGACCCACAACAAAAGGCCTTCAAGAAGGATTTCCCTGGCTGTCCAGTGCTTAGGACTCCGCTTCCACTGCAGGGGGCATGGGTTCCGTCCCTGGTCAAGGAACTAAGATTTCTTCACATGCTTCGAGGCGTGGCCAAAAAATGCTATCCTCGAAACGAATACTATCCGAGGAAGACATCAGGCTTCATGAGGGGTGCTGGGACAAAGGTGAATCCTCAAGGATGTCACATATTGGCAGAGAGAAGCAGGTTGTGATGGCAGCCAGCGTTTACAGGGGCTTCCTGGGTGGTAGGCCTTGTGCTGGGTGGTGGTGGCGGTGGTTTAGTCGCTAAGTTGTGTCTGACTTGTGACTGTAGCCTGGTGGACTCTGTCCGTGCAATTCTCCAGGCAAGAATGCGGGAGTGGGTTGCCATTTCCTTCTCCAGGGGATCTCCTGACCTGGGAATAGAACCCGGGTCTCCTGCATTGCAGATTCTTTACTGACTGAGCTACGAGAGACCTGAGGGTGACTCCCATGTGATCACATTTCACCTCACAACAGCCTGGTGGCGAAGGCACCCTTAGTGTCCCCAGTTCACACGGGAAGAACCAGAAGCTCAGCAAGCAAGTGCCTGCTGTGAGTCACACAACTGGGTCTGCCTCCTGGCACTGAGAGCTACTTGCTGTCAAACGTGAACAAAGCTGAGCTGAGCAAAATCTCCCACCATCTCTGGTAACGGAAACCAGGATAGGGCTGGAGGACAGTGGCAGCTTTGACGAGGGAGCGAGGCCAAGCCCTGGGGCTGCGGGATAGCAGAGGACACAGCAAGAAGATCCACGGAAGCATATCGCGAGGTGGAGGGGGGATCTGATGTGGGTTTTTCAGAGCTCAGCCCTTGCAAGGTGGGGGTGCCGAGTCCTGATCATTTCTGGAACTCTCTAGGCGGCGCCCAGAGAAAGTCAGCTGAATTCATGGGGCAGATAGGCAGCCTCAGGAAAGGCTGGTGTGAACGGGAAGGGGAAGGGTTCAGGGGTCCGCTCCCTGGACAGGAAGCTGGCTTGTGAAGGGAGGCAGCAGGTCTGACTCTGGCCACAAGAGGGCGCCTGGCACCAGGCAATGAAGCCGCGCCGGCGGTGTGGGTGGTTTGTTGCTGGTTCCCCAACGGTCTTGGGAGGGAGGATGTGGAGGAGGGGATACACTCAACTCACTACCATGAAATTCCAGCACCAGGAACAAGCACAGTCGGGCATGATGGTTTAGATCAATGCATGTCTACTCATTCTGAGATTCTATCATCTCAGGCCAGTTATTTCTCTTTATACTGAGTTAGTAGGGTTCTTGACTGCATTCTTTGTAAAATTTGGAAGGGCTCTTTCCTTGAAACCTACCTTCCTAAAGGGGACAGCTCTTTTCCATCTCCTTGTCTATGTCAAGGACCTGTACAGCAATGCTTCACTCATTTTGATTCATTTAATCTGCTGTTCAGTAGTGCACAGAGTATTTCAATGACTGTATTCCCCTATCTTCAAATCTACCTAGTCAGTCTCTTACTTTCTGCTATTTTTTTCTAGCACTATCTTAAGAGGTTCCATAGGTATTTTATATACTGTATCTGATAATAACAGTATCTGAAGTCCCGGGGGCGGGGGGG